GACGCCGTGTCCTAAAGCGCCGAGTCCTCCACCGCTAGCCTTAATCAGGAAGCGCCTGTAAATTCACACAGCCACGCTTACGCACACAGAGGAGCATGGCGCCGCCGCCATTGGCGCTGACCTTCATTAACCTCATAAATGCCAGCGGTGTTTTTTGTCGCAGCTCTTAATGCGGTTATCAGCACAAACACAAACAAATGTGACAGAAGTGCTAATTCTGGGGCTAATACTATACATCTGTGAAATGCATCACTTCCTCCTCCCCACTACACTCAGGCTGTGGCTGTCCCAACATGGAAACCTGCACCGCTAGCTACTGTGTTCCAATACCAGGAACAGCCTCCACCTCAAACTCTAACTAACCCTGCAGTGAGCAAGATGCACATGTATTCAAGTCCTCTACCTGTCTGTGTGTTGCTGCACCAGGATCTTATTAAGGAATGGATTATGAATGTGAATATAGGCCACTGAGAAGAATATACTCTAGCATTACAGTGTTTGTGTCCAGGTGTGCTGTTGCATTGGGTATACATCAAATACAGAAACATTAAAATATATTGACGTGACTAACCAGGTTAGATTAAAAATAATATAAAAAATGAATAAGGCAAGACATATACCAGTCCTTCCACATGGCAGCACAATGAACAACAGGCTCGGATTTGGAATGTTTATACCATTGTAGATTGAGTGTAACAATTTTTCAATGAGAATTCAGTGCAGTATTATATTGCACGGAGCAGACTATTTTTACCCTCTTTTATTACTCATATTCAGCTTTTTATTGATGCCATTATTCAAGCTCTAGCACACACCGTGTCAAAATGGTACTGTATATAAAAGAGACCCATTTTGCGATTTTCTTTTCTTTGTAACTGAAATTTTACTTTAACTTGCCAAAATTAAACATTATTAATACCTACTAAAAAAAGTACATTAAAGTTAGCTTATTACCATTACAGACTGCGAAACGAAAATGTATCTCGGTTGAATGCCAGTTTTAGGAGGATTTGTAAGCCGAAAGAGGTTTTAAATCGACAAAGAATGCTGCAGGACAACAAATGACTGGTGAATTTGAAACACATTTGTCTTGGGCGATCAGCCTATGACAGATACAATGTTACCTAACAGATAGCAGGTTAGCATTACGTTCGTTTTTAAATGCTGCTAAGACAACTGTGATTTAGATACTACTACTACTACTACTACTACTACTGCAGAACTCTAAAGGCAGTTTGAAATGCATCAAACAGACAAAAAGAAAAAAAGAACTAGGTTTTCATCCAACAGCAACAATAATCGTTTTTTGTCACAAGCAGCCGTTTGTATTAAAATATATTTGGATGCAGTCACATACCTGGCTTATTAAACCAACACAGAGCTTGGATTGTTAAAAACAGTAAATCCTAATGGAGGTTCTGAATTGCTCGGCCTCGGCTCTTCATCCTGACCTTTGCCCTCACCTCGACACAGCTGGTATTAGCGTCATCAGCCTTAAGAGGGAAGCGGGGGCGGTGAATATCTGCAGCTTCCTCTAACTCTAATGTGTTACAGTCAGACAGTGAGCAGCCATCGAGGGGCGTCGCGCTCACGTCTCCGCCGGTGGCCCCTTGCCTCTCTAAAACGGGGGGGAAGGCGATGACCCCCGTCCTCTGTCATGGCCCGCTGCGAACCACTGCCCGCCTCAACTTTCATAACCCCCCCGACAGTCCACACTCGACCCCTCCGCCGCCACCTCGCCAGAGCGTAAACAGTAATTGCTACATAAATTATGTGGCACTCGGTGTTTTCCACATATCCCCCCCGGCACTCCTGATGATACGCTGATATACTGTACTGTAGTCGAGAGCACAGGGTGATAAGTGCGGTTGTAAAAAAATAATGTTGGTCTATAAATCTCCGCTCTGCTTATTTTTGTTCATAAAAAAGCACACATTGTGGATAAAAGACGAGGAATAGTCAGACATATGCCACAGTTTAAGGTAGCAGAGGGGGAAAAAAGGTGTGCTGATGATTGACAGGTAGGGAGATGTGCTACATTCCCCCAGATGTTCCTGCACAGGACTGTCACACATCTCCAAAAGGATTCAATTTGTGGTACCGACATCCTTAAGGGATATGACCGTAAATCACGAGACGGTGGTTAATTAACAAGCAGACACACAGCATGTCCATGACTGCTTCTAGGAGTGGTGACACTGGTCAAACACTGTGCTTAAGGGAAGGCAAACAAACGCAGAGCGAAGTGTACAGCCGCACAACGCAGAGCTAACAGGAGCACTGTAACAATACAAGGAGGTTGAATAGAGGGCAACATAAAGAGCTAAAACACAGCTGATGAATTTAGTAAAGTGCACATTCACCCAGAATTATGAGCAAATAAATCCCTGCTCTGTAATCCTCATTCTGTAATTATTTGTTTGTGCACTCTTCAGCTGAAAACAACTGCAAAGAGGTGTGTGGGGGGGGGGTAGGAATCTGCTTACAACCTTTTGAATACACACATAGGTTTTAGTGAGTTCATCTACAAATAATCTGCAGCCTTTTCAGGGGATTAAGCCCCAAATGCCATGCAATAATCCCTCTGTGACTTTTTGCCTTAAAGTCTATACCAATAATTGTGTGTGGAATCTCAAGATGATCAGTTGGCTTTTGAGATGAAGGATAATAATGATATTAAAAAAAAGTAAAAGCGCTCAATCCGGCTTTGCGTAATTTGTGGTCAAGTTTTGAGGTAGGGGAACAAATCTTTCAAATCGTGGGGAGATATTGAACAAATTGTATTTCTGAGGGCTTAAAACCTCAAAGCAAAAACACAGTCACACAGCAAGGAGAGATGTGAGTGACTGTTCCAGCTGCTGGAGCACAGTGAGTCCACCTCTTGCAGCTTTGGAGGAGTCAGCGGCCATCTGCACTTCCCAAAGACACAGTTCATTTACGAGCGGCCCCCTGAACTGGCCCCTAATGTCCCGTGTTATCAGAGTGAATCAGCAGCATTGATAAATTAGCCGTTCGGAAACACGCTGCAACAGGCCCGTCAGCTAATGTGCGCGCGTTTGTGTAATACTCATATGCAATGCTTAATGTTGTGGAACCAATTCTGTCGTTTCCATTATGTAAATACATTTGCCTCAGCACTATATTTGATGTATTGTCTCCCTTGTCTCAATTACTTGGGCTATTAAAAATCAAGAGGATATGGAAATGAGGTGCAGTTGTCTGTTTGTAGTTTGATGACAAGTGCAAAGTGTTTATGAAAGCTCGTAATGCATTCAATTGCAGTCGGATACGTCAACACGCTCCGAGCGTTCCTTCATCCATGTTCAAGCAGAAACAGGCACATTGTGTTCGCATCTCTAAATAAATTAAACTATATGTGTCATTGCTGTTTTATTTAGATCTTCTGTTTTCTTATGGAGGTGGCAAACAAATGTGAAAGTGAGAAGAAAAAAAACAAACATATTTCAGAGTGCCAATGAGTGTTTGTGGCCGGTGCCAGAGAAAATAAGCGTTTCAGATGCTTCAGTTTGGGTAATTCCCTGTTGAACAGCCAAAATACCTCAGGAAATAATCAAGAAAAAAAGAGAGAGAGAACCTTGGTAAGCTTTTAAGCATGGAAGTTTTCACTGACATCTCAATACTGCTTTCTTAATCTTTATAAATGTCATTTGTCAAAGTGAGGCACTATACAAAAATGTTTTTAAATTACTCAGCAATCACAAATATATGTTTTTAAAGTGAACACTGTAGTAAATTGTGATATATATTTTTTTTTTAAATAGACAAAAATCTCAAATTGAGGTGTTGAGATGGAAATGTGTGATTAGTCGAAATGGTTTAAATGATTGGTTTCTTTAGTAAAAGCATACATGTCAAAGTGTATACCTTCCTGCAGGTTGCAGCGCATAAAACCACATAGGATTTGTTTACCATGAGCCTCGGTCAGCATTTATTCCGGTCTGGCCAAAGGGAACATTTTGCATTCCTTTTGTGTCACAGTCACCGAGGATCACCATTTTTTATTAAGCTTCCAAAGACAAGTAATTATTATACAGTCTGTCTGGTCTATGAGTTTTATGTACTCAATACAAATGTATTCATAAGGAACTAATCTACTCCATTCAGCAGAGGGAATCCAATGCAAAAATACACACTAATAAAACATTTGAAATTAAATAATAACCTGGCAACTAATGATATTTTCTTCTCTCTTTCTCACTGCCAAAAGGCCCAGACTGTTTCTCAAACTTGACTTTATAGTTTTCAGTAAGTTCCTCCATTTAATGAGGCAATACCATAGGGCAATACTAGTTTTATATGGAGGCGACAGAAAGAAAAAGAAGTTGAAAAAAACAAGAGGAATATCATTACTGAATTTCAGGACGTTATTCTACAGTGGCTATATGACAGGGACATTCAACTTTCTTTAAAAGAAAAAGGCAGTTTGACGACATTGCTTGTGGCGATGCTTTAGTATATCAATTTAAATATACGAACACGAGTAGAAACTGACTTGGTAATCGTACTAAAATTATGGAAGGAATCGATTGTTTTTATAAAGTTCAACGGGGCTTGGTGACAAGGTCTTTCATTTAAGGGTGCATCACCGATGCGGATATAAATAGTAAAAACAAGCCGGTTTGATTTATAACCACACTAAACTTGTATTTAAGCCGTTTCGTTTTTGTCGTTGTTCGAGACATTGGAGGCGTTTTTAAGGACCGTAAACGCAGCAGCAACTAAACTTTGAACGGTGAAAAACAATGCGTCATTAAAAGCCGAGGACAAATGTGAACAGAAATCGTGTCTTCATGTTCATTGTTCAACAATTCCAAGGTTCTCAACTAACCCCGCTGCGGAGCGTTGTGCAGCCGGCAGCAGCGCAGAGTCGCCGGGCTGCCGCGCGCTCCGATGCCCGGCCAAGGTGCGCACGACCTCTGCTCACACGGGGGGGGGAAGAAAGGGGGTGAAAGGACACCAGTGTGGTAAAAAAGTTGTACCTTTTCTCTTCGATCGCCTCCTCCTTCTCCTCTTCAGCTTGCATTTGACCTGTCCGCTCTGAGCCCCCGACGCGCGGCTGTTGTTTCCAAGTACGGATGCCATCAGCGCAGCCTTTGGAGCGAAGCGCAGGGTAACTTGGACTCGGCGGATCGACTCTCCTCGTCTCTGCCCTCCGTTTGATAACGCAGCGTCCTCGGCTTTTACGCAGACTATGTTTTGGGCTCTGTTCTTTTATCCCTCTGAACCTGGGGGGAGCTTGCTGTTTCTATATCACCTCGGAAACTCCAGCTCGCCTCCCTCCTTGTCGAAGCTCTCAGCAGCTCTGACAGCACTCCGCTCCTCGCACACTGGTTTTTCCGCGCCTCTGCAGAAATTTGGGCATCAGCCACTTTGGATTCAATCATGCAGGACGCCTATCCATTTGCTGCCGAGCTTTCTAATTAGGGTCCAATCGTGGCTTTCTGGGAGGTGTGACATCAGCAGCGACATCCACCAACTCACACCCCTTATTTACCCGCTGCCTTTTTAAATGTTTCCTACATTTGGACTTATTCCTCGCACTTTTTCCTCCACACTGCAGGGGGATTTTGTTCTCTTCCGCCCTCCACAGGGGGATCAGAGGTCAGTCTGGTAGGGATTTTTGCTCAGGGGCACTTCAGTAGAGGTTTAGCAGCATGAAGGACTCCTCCATATGCCACCCTGATGCAAACTCACAACTGCCTTTAGGCACACAAAAAAGGATTATCCACTTCACACAAAGTCCTCTGTTAGACAACTTATTCTCCTCATGTCCTTTTTTCATCTCCCGAAATTTGGATTTTCTTTTCAGGATTATGTATCTAAAGCTAATTCCCTCTTATTCCCAGTCTCTGTTCCAAAGTCACTGACAAGTCGACAGAGGGAGATTACTCTAAAATGCATAATGTTCTAATTGCACACACTAAATGCATCTTTGAGGAAGTCAAACTCTGTTCAATCTTGCAGCTTTATTACTACGATCCTTATTTAAGACAAAATGTTTCTTCTTTTATTTTGAAAATCCTGTTTTGAAGTGTCAGGTGACCTTCATCGTGGAGGCAGAAACTCTCCTGACAGTGTGTAATGGCCGCAACGTTTGAAGCTTGTGACATTTTGGCATTTTTGTGCGAAAGTGCAGAGTCGAGAAAGCATTGGTGGCTTTCCTAGCTGGAGGTTATTGTTGTATTCCCTCGGCCTCCCTCTATACTGCGGAGGGCAGGTGTGTGTTGGTGACACATTTAGGGCTGGGAGAGGGGGAAATGCAGATTTGTTCCGAACTAATTCTATATTTCCTGTAAATGCAGTCAGTTTTTCCTCTATCTTTTACCCTCATTACTTCTGTTAAAAAGAGCAAGAGGTGTTACAGTAAGAGGGAAAACAATGCTTTTGCAGAAACAACTCAATTGCTGATGTCAGATTGAAAAGTGACTTTGAGGCTGTGTTGTTGGGTGGAAACATTTCCTCCGGCCCAAGGGGGGCAGAGAGAGGAGGGGGGAGAGGAGAGGAGAGGGGAGAGGGGAGAGGCCGGGGCCGTCCGCCAGGCTGCAGCCTGCCCTCAGGACGCCCACAAATATCCATGTAAATTGCAGTTTAAGAGAAATCAATACAAGTGACAAGTTGCCAATGCCACTATCTGGGGCAGTAATGAAGGTGTGCTGGGGGGTGGGGGGCTGTAGCGTACATAGATAACAGCAAACAGGCTGGGTGGGGCAGGGGTACGGGTTAGAGGTACATGCACAGCAAGGTCAGTTGGATGGACTAAAAGGGACGGGAACTAACCTGGATCCATGTTGCTATTAGGACTACAGCACTGATATGCTACATGTGCCATTGTTCTATTGCGGATGGGTTGTTTGTTCACACTTTTAAATTATTAGAGACAATAGACGACTCTGTGACGTATGGCTTCACATCCTTTGTGTTCTTTCAGCACAATGTTGCACAGGTAAATCAAATGAAACAATACAAAAGTACAGCATATTCTGAAAGATGTGTTGCAGGTAAAGAGAAGTGCATTGTATAACTCAAGTTAGGGAGAGACGAGGCGGCCTTGAAAATATGATACATGTCCAAGTTCATTAAAGCTGTGGTTCCCTAAACAGATGTTGAACTGTTTGACCAACTGTGTGAGAATGTAATGATTAATCAGTCAAAATGGATTTGGATTTCTTACTTTTGTAGGCATGTTTTCCCTTACTGCATAATAATGTGTGTAGGAGGGACTAAGGTCATTGGACCCAGGACATTGCAGTTATTATAGCATGCGATGCTACTGAGACGTTACAAAAAAGGATTGGAATGAGGGTTATCATATTTATTGAATGCCTATGGAAAAAAAGAAACTGTGAGAAACTGCTTTTTTTTTTTAATTAATTTTGATTAATCTATTTTTTCTGTGCAAAAATAGTGGGAAATGTTTACCGTTCAAAAGAGAAACAATTTAGCATTTTCCTTTAACAACAGTATAAAACTCAAATGTATATCATTTGGTGTGATATAAAAGACAACAAAGCAGAATTATTTTTACATTAACGAAGCTGGTACGGGAACAATTGTGGCATTATTGCCAAAAAATACATGACTCAAATAACAGTCATCAAAATAGTTGAAGTGATATCACACATTGATCCAGATTACAGTGAATTGAAGGATGATATGGAAGAAATATGCCATTAAATATACTGTTTGTTCAATGAAGGGATTTGGTTGTGAACTGATTTTCTGTTAATGTAATGGCAAAGTTTATATGTTTGGATAATTAAAAAAACATCTATTTCCTGCACATTTCTGTGTTTATTCACTACTATTATTTAGCCCCAGACTTGGCGTTGGTTTGATGTCATATCTATGGATTAAAGAGTTAGATTTAAATTGAGATTAAAGTAAACACTCGGCAACAACTCCTCTTTTTTCCATCATCAAATCAGGCACCTGCAATCTAAGATAAGGAGGCCAATCAGTACGCTAGTAGCACACATTCATTTTCTGCATTTTTCATTGAATTATTCTTCTTCATTACATTTGAGGCCGTTTAAAATGTCTGGTCTACATGCCTCTCAGATTCTTGCAAGCCCAGGCAGGTCCGACTATATTACACCATTATATTAAATGACTTATTTTATATAAATTAAGTATGAATTAAAATCTTGCAAATGTATACATGTTGTTACCACCATGTGACGGATGTTGAAGGTGCACCTGTACACATAGTGGCCGATACCGATATCCACACCGGTGGGGAATCGAATTATGATGCTTGCGTGCAATAAAAGTACCCTGGAGTCTAAAAATAAATGTCTACGCTTCAAAGCCCACCTGTCCGCTCAGCATCAGGTGTTCAGTGCAGCATGAGCAAAGGGATCATGGTTGACTTTTAAAATCTGGCATCGGAAATGAATAACAAAACGTTTTATTCCTCCAGCTGGAAGCCCTAAAAACAACTGCTACGGTAGCTCAATGTAAATCACAGCCCTGTCTGACATTAACAGCCTAAGTGATTATATAACAAAAACACTAATTGGTCAGGATATTGCTGGAATGATAAAAAGAAAATCAAAACAAGTTTCAAGTGGGGTCCAAACGAGGAGAGGAAGTGACATTTGTGACAAGCTGTTTTTGGTGAATGTATAAAATGATGTTTTTTATAACAGCAGGTCAAATGGGCTTTTGGCTGTCTTCCCTCTTGTATCTAAACGTTCTACTTTCTTCTGGCTAATAATGCCAGCAGAGTGAGAGAGGAGAACATGCAAGGACATTGGTGGCGTGAAACTGAACTTACAGTTTTTTAAATACTTTCATGACCTTGTCGCTGTAGCAGAGAGCAAATGGAGGCAACACTGCAACGTTGGAATTGATGTCAGGGTTTTAATGTACCTTGCAAACATTACCAACACAAAGTGCTCTAATTGCTAGTTGCCCACACCTCATTTAGAGGTTGCATTCCGTATTTAAAACTTTCAAAGTGACATTGAACATTTCCTTCTGCAGCTGAAGCCAGGGGGGCTGCATTTCTCGCTTCCGCTGATGAAGTGTCGCCAGTGTACCTTTTCTTCAGTGACAATCTCCTTTGGATGACTTATTTTCCCTTTCCAACCTCACCCCGCCCTTCTTAAGTGACACCCATTAATCACATTAGGGTCTTTGGGAGAATTGTCTGCTGAGCGTCAAGTCTCGGCTGACCCCAACATTTGGAGAGTGAAGATAAAGACGTTGCACTGACAGCTCTGAAATAGCCCCTTTTTTCTCGGGTCAGCGTTCAGCGGAATATGAATATTATTATACATAAAAAGAGCGGAAAAACAATTGAGTCTTTACTTCAGAGGAGCTGACTGACATTGGGAATTCTCAGTGTTTTTTCTGCTTTGGATAGATTGCATGGGTAGGTTTCAAATGAATAGCAAAAAGCTTCACGTGGTGACTTCATGTGCAAATGTATAGAATTAATAAAATGTTGCGATATCTTTCCCTATCTGGAAAGAAAGCATCTCCTGACATACGGCTAATAACATACTCGGAGTCTACGATTTTGCAGATCAATGGTGATTGGGTTTAATACTGGATTCTTTCATTTCTGGAAGCATTGAATATTATGGCGCTCTTTGTGAGTCTACATTCCAATCAAAATGTCTCCCTGAATAGGAACTAACATCATTGCCCTTAATGTCACGTAACATTATCAGCTCTGTGGTTTAGTACAATGGAGCCATTGTGTTCTGTGGTGAGGGGGGCTTATCAGTGAAAGACAGGAAAGGAGAAAGAAGAGAATGAATAGAATAAAAGTAAATTCAATCTGTTTAGCAAAGAAGATTTCTCAAAATAGTTCTTCACAATGTTGGATTCAGTCACCTTGTGCGACCGAAATTAAAAGAGAAATATTAAGACGTGAGGTTATAATTATTTGAACACTAAATGTTGGTTATAGGACTATGTGTTCATATAAGTTGTCATAAGTTGTACCATCAAATGAGAATCAGTGCTAATGATAATTTTAACTCATTAGCTCCCAATTTCTGAGTGGGAAATACTTAGCCTAGCTTGCTAGCTCCTACCTTCGAAGCTAGTATCTGTGCCACAAGAAATGACGAATCAAAGAATTGAAATGTAAAAGGCATTTCAAGTATTTTGACATATGATATGTTGACAGCCTTTATAGGGAGGACGATGGAGAAAACAGGAAAGTCCAATGACAGCAATGTCCTCCTCTTATACAGGTCTGCTAGCTGCTATGGTGTGCCCAAGCTAACGGCCAAGTGCAGTTTTATGTGATGGGTTAGCTCAGTGGTTCTCAAACTTTTTCTGTCAGGCCCCCCCTTTGGAGAAAAAAAAAAGTCGGGCCCCCCCAACACAAATAGTCAGGCTCAGTGGCGGCGCCA